TTTTTTTAAAAAAAATTTCAATTTAAAAAAAAAAGAAAATTGTGGGCAGGGAAAGGACGGGAATGGGAGATTAAAAATGATGACCGACTGAAATGCCCTCAAAATTCCTCAGCATCTACTTTGATTATGCAATGAAATACAGTACATTTAGAACTTGATTTGTCAAAAGACACTTTTTATTTCATATACCTGATTGCTGCTCTAAGAAGGAACAAAAGTAGTACATATTAAACTGTAGCTACCAACATGCAAATTTAAAGTTTAGTTTCTGTGTTTATATACAGAATGCTTGTTCTATTTATTCATATCCTTCCCTCATACTCAATCAGCAATAGCAACAGCAGTAGTAGTAATAGTACTACTAATAGTAGTAGTCTTTTTATTTTAGTAATTGACCAGCACAACATATCGTTAAAAGATAAAATTAGATCCATCCCTTTGTGCTAACAGTGTAACTTAAATACTACAAATTCATATTATAGAACACACCATAGTCGTGATATCAATACCACTAAGACTGTAGATTTAAGGTCTTTTGCGATAAAAGTAAATGTATTAGAAATTTATATAATTGTAATAAAACTATAGAATGAAGGAAAATAAATAAGATGAAATAATAAATAATCACGAACCTCTGCAGGTAAACTATTTTATATTGATATTGTAACTATAAGAACTATAAGAACTTATAGTACGATATAATTGTAATAAAACTATAGAATGAAGGAAAATAAATAAGATGAAATAATAAACAATCACGAACTTCTGCAGGTAAACCATTTTATATTGATATTGTAACTATAAGAACTTACAGTATGATGTAAAATAGAATTTTGTGAAAAGCAATGGTACTAACTTAAAATATTAAAATAATTACTTTGCAGTTGCCAGATTTCTGCATTGTTAAGGGGCTTTCTAGAAAACAAATAACAGTGATTATAAATATACTAGATGTAGGCATATCAATAATCATACAAATAACCAACTACAATTTGGTAAGCAACAGAGCCAGAGGGGAAATATGCTTCGTAAAATGAGACATGCGCCATGTTTGCATGTAATAGTTTCCATCAAAGAAAGCTGTCAGGGCAAGCAATTTGCAAATCCCCCCCCCAGCAGATTATATTCAGAAGGAGCATTAATTTCTCTGGGTAATGTAATCTCTGCACGCATTGTTTATAATAATTTCTGGTCAAACCTAAATAAGCATCTATATATAGGAGATATAAATTATTTTCCTTTGTCCAAGAAGATATTTGTCACAATGAAAAGATAACAAACTCAAAAGACAGTTAAATTGGACTTTTCCTAATTGAGATAGGACTCAACATAAATGTTTTGCTTCATTTATCAATTATTTTTTTTAAATGCTACATTTAGCAGACTCAAATGAGCCCCCCCCCCCCAAAAAAGGGGCAACTGAACTATTTTTTTCTTGAGAAAGAAGACTTTAGCTTCTCATCCAAGAAACTTCATCAGTTTTGACTGGACGGTGGAGAGAGGGAAGGATAATTCTGATAGTCCTTCCTTCCATCTCCCATCATCCAGAACCAAGTTGCCTTTTTTGGGGGGGAAATAAACATATTTGGGACATCTGGGTGACTGAGAATCGTCATAGAACGTACATTTAGTGGAACGATCCAAGATTCATTACTGCACTGAAAAGGATGCAGTTTGATCCTTAGCCTTATGCTAAATTCACACCTTTATGGCAACACATTGTAATCAAGTTTTACTTCATTGGTTTAGTTTCTTTCAAACATTCCTACATTGAAATAGTTGTCACATTCTATGGTGGACTTGTAAAAAGGTTAAAGCNACAATAGGATATTGGCTATGTAATAGTATACATGTGATTATATGTTATGAAAATGGAAAATAAAAAAGTATATTTAAATAAAAAAACAAGGTGTGGGGGGGAAAAATGTTGCTGGAGGCCAGGATGGCCAATTTGGGGCCAAAAACAGCCTGGATATTTCCTGAAGCATCGTCTGAGGACAGCAGAGCCAGGGGGGCTTCCCACCCAGGTTTTTCTCCCCCCACAGTTCCTGGTTAAGGCCCCTGAAGCTCACCTGCGCACCCATCGCCCAGGCAGCCAAGACGTGCCGACAGAAATTCAGGCGCTGCGGCTTCATCTCGGAGTGGCAAGGGCCACTGTAGTGGGGGAAGGCTGGGAAGTGGGGGCTGCACTGGAAGACCTCCATGTGATGCACCAGGGCTTCATTGCCACCTGTGACCACCGGCTCATACTGAGGGAGGAAGGGAAGAGGTAGTCACACTCCAAGCCCTGCAAGCACTCTTGACAGGAGAAGCAAATCCTCCATTTCATCTCCTTAAAAGCAGACAATTTAGGGTGGATAAAAGTCCCCTCACCAGTGTGAGAAGCCACACTGGAAAGTCCCCATTGGGCTCTTCTGCAAAGAGGAATCTCCTTGATCTCAAAATGAATCAGGTGGAGCATCAGCATTGCTCGCTCATCTGAAAATCCACAAAAATGGAAAATGGCCTTAGGCTGACTGTGATGAGGGGACTGAACCTCCTTCCTCCTGCTGGATATGAAGAAATAGCACAGTCAGCTTAGTTAGCCCTCTCTTCTGGGTTCACACAACATGCTAGCTAGATTCTCAGAAATCCCCGTGAGAACTAAACCCAGGCCAAGGCCTTCGCTCCAATGATGCCAAACTAAAGAGGCCCAGTTCATGCAGCATGCGGGGGCACCGCTGAGTCCCAGCCGTGGGAAATGTTTCTCCCGCCAGAGGCAGGACACCCCTCTCCCCCTTCCTCTTCCTGCCCCCAAGAGGCAGAAGGAATAGTTGGACAAGGCGGGATCTACCTTTCCTTCCTTTGCACAATGCGGAAGAACGCTGGAACTAAGGCTAAAAATATGATGACGAAAAAGGAGGAGAAGAGACTGGGCTGCCATCTTTCAAAAATGGTGTAGGGTCTCCTGCTTGGGTGGGGGGTTGGACTACAAGGTCCCTTCCAACTCTGTTAATCTGTAACTTGTAATGATGATGTTTTACCGTGATGGAAGAAGTACTTCAACCACTGCATTTGAAATGGACTCTGCAAAGCTTCCATCTAATCTAACCATTGGAAGAGACCTTTGCTGAAAGCTGGAAAAGGGGGAAACAATATAATCACCATATTTTTTGCATTTTTTTCAATCTTGACTGAGTAGGATGCTGGCTGCATAGATGGGGCCACTGGGGACGGTTGCAATCCTTGTGTGGAAAGTTAGCATCCACCCCTCTTAGAAGAATGAAATATTTTACAATATATTTAAAAAGGCAGAATATTATATTTCCCCTGAAGGAGAAACATGTTTCTAAAGACAGAAACTCAGAGCCACAGTTCCCTGCTCCCAAGCAGATACTAAGCTGAGGCCAACTTTTAGAAATGCAGTTTTGGTCATCCATTCAAGACAGGATATTTTGAACAAAGGCAAAATGGTAGGATTAGCCCTCACTCAAGATCCAAACCAGGACAAAGACATTAAGACACAATAGGAATGGCCCAACACTCTTTCGAGACACAAGCCTCCTCATTATATCATCTCAGAGAGTCCAGTCTTCAATCAAACTTAATTCAGACAACCTAAAAAGTTAGCTATCACCCCTGCTGACGCCCCACGAGAGTCTGACAACCACTAGAAGACATGTTCTTGCACAGGAACAGGAAGCTCAAGGGCATGGCCCAAGAGAGGGTATAAATAACCCTCACTCTTAACAATTGTGTTCAGCTGTCCAGGACTTCAAACCATGTGGTCCTGTCCATCAATAAACCCTTAAAATTATTCTGTTATATTATTGTTATCGTTGTTAGTACATGTGTTAATATTTCTTTTCGTTCTTTCTCTGTTTCTTTGTAAATGATATATCCTGACAATAAAATGTATTCAAAATGTTTATGAAACAAACAAACAAACCATCTTTCCAAGCAGGCTCCATGTTTTCAGTGTCTTTCTCCTCACTTGGAACGGAACCAGATGGATATTTCTTCCAACACTTGTTAGTGGCTATCTTGCACAAGATGGCCATGATTCAGAAAGAATTGGACCCCTGCAAAGCACCTTGGAGGACTTGAACCTGAATCTGTGAGGGAGAAAGAAAATGGGGAGGCGGGGTGTCTACTCACCATGACAATATGATGCTTTTCAAAGCCATCCGGAAGTTTGATCATGTAACACCAGTATGTGGTCTCCTGGTGAGGAATGGTCACGTCTGGGACTCGGATCTCCATGGTCTTCAGGTCCCCAGGCAGTGGGGGAACTCGGATCTTGGGCTTTAGAAGTTGCACCCGCTGCAGTCCCTTCCGGAGCAGAGCAGAAATATTGATGGCTTCGAGAGACGGAGCTGGTTTCTCCAAAATGCCGTAAATGAGATGCACAGTTCCATCCTGGAAGGGAAGACATCAAGCACTCTCTCTGAGCCACCAAGGATAAAGCTGGGCAGCCCGATTTAGGTGGACTCGCTTGCTGGCTGGAAGAAGCTCAGAAAGAAAGCAGTGGCCACTGAAAAGGCTTCCTTGGGTTGGAGAATGATCAGAACCCCAAGGCTGGCTGAAGGGCTAATTTAAACAGGGATCAGCATCCTCTGTAAGAGATGCCATCATGGAAATGAGCACAGCACTGAAAAGAATTCCCAGCAGAGTCTAACCACCTTAAGACTGCATCATAAAACAGGGAATGCCAGATAATAATTGCCAATTAAGCCTCAGTGCAGTCCAGCGGCCTGTGTTTTGGCCACTGAGCTCCATAAGGACGAATCTCTTGAACACAAGATTTCAATAACTATTCTAAGTGTACGTTTGCCATAGAATATCCTTACATTTGAGTCCAATAGTTTCTCTTAACTGAAATTAAAAATACTGAAGCCACACAAGCACATAGAAATTCCAACAAATTGTAAACGTTCAGCAATGGTTTTTTTTTTTTTAAAGAAAACTAGCAGCATTGCTCTTCAGATTTTTCTAAAATTTTAGGTCAGCTGGCCTTGCGATCCATTTCTGCAGCTTAGCTTGTTTGGCCTCAGCTTGTTTGGTCTCAAAGGGGCTTGGCTCCCATCACAGTCTAAATCTAGAAAGGCCCCCTTCTAGATTTAGACTGTTATGGGAGCCCAGCCCCTTTGGGGCTTTGATGGCATAATGCGGGCTTGCTTATATATTTAATTATTTAATATTTCTTATTTTTACAATAGGTATAACTTACTCAATCCATAAGGGTGAATAAAATGATCCACTCTCACTAAATACATTCTGTCATGCCCCCATCAGAGTCTGAATCTGAGATGGGGCTCTGATGGCTGTGGAGGAAGCTGGGGAAGGGCAAAGTCAGGCTGGGCAGAGCAGGGAAGAGGTAGAACAAGAAGAGGGGGTTCTGATGAAGACGAAGACCTCCCTCATCCTAGGGCACGCAGGGAAGAATGCAAAAGAGAGCAACAACGGTTGTGTGGTTTACGAGGAAGGAAAGGGCCCCGATTCCCTTCCCAAGGCACACCTGGGGATGGAGTTTAAAGGAGAGGCAGTTGGGAGGGGCGTTTGTCAGGAACAAACACTGAGTTCATCTAGTGTTGAGAGTTGTGGCCTGCATTTCTGGCATTCTTCCTGACTGTTTGAATTTATTGCTGTGCTTCTGTGTGCTTATCTTGCCTTGTTGGGATTATTCACTTCTTGAACTCATTACTTGCCCTGCTGGGGTGATTGATTGCAGTCATTCTGCTTACAGCATTTGGACTGAAGTATCTGCAAACAGAGGCTGCTGCAGGCTTGTGAGAGAGTTTTTCTCCAGGCCGGAGAGTAACGAGACATTGGGTCAAAGCTGGAGCCAATAAAGAGACTCACATTGGTTCTTTGGCTGTGTTGCCTTTGTGCCAAGCCCCAGGTCACCACACATATCCATCAAAAAGCAGTTCATCAAAGGCATCATTCACTCAATCTGGGCTGCTTTGCTCTACCAATATTCCTCATTTAGCAACTGACTCATTTAGTGACCCTTCACTAAATGGTGATGAAGAAGTAACTGTGCAACCAGTTTTCACATTTGAGATCTGGAAGTCTGTATAGTAAAAGAAAGCTGAAGTAAGGTCATAAGCACAGTTGTGGTTTCGCTTAGCAACTTCTTTGCTTCTGAGAATTGTGGTTGCTAAACAAAGACTACCTGTTTTGTGAAATACCCCCAGAGCTGGGGCCATCCATATTTTTAGGTGGGGGAGTTATTCCTTACTATTAAAATAGTCTATTCCCTCTCCAAGCCCTGACAAAACTGTGAGGAGGAAAACTTGTCACAGGCCCTCTCTAAAATATTTGAGCAAGTTAGCATGAACGATGTCACAAAATTCAGGATTGCAGCATTATTTCTCTCTGTGTTCTTTACTTTCTCTCTTCTGGCATTGCGGGCCAGTTAATATTATGAGATTTGGGCTGCTTTCAACTGCCATGAGCCCTGTTAGATGGAAGTGAGGGTCAACAGCCTGGAAGGTCAACATACAAGAGAGACTGACGAAGCCATTCAGGCAGGGAAAACCAAAGAACTGTTTTCTTTAAAATAAAAATAAAAAATAAGGAAAATGGAGATTTAAAAGTTCAGCAATTCAGACTTGAGGTTTTGATTTCCATTTTCAAAACATAAAATTAGATTGTTCAAAACAAAGCATTTTCAGGATATTCTGCCTCCCTCCCTGCATTTTTCTCTTCAGATTTGGGACAGTTCTTTTTCAAAATTGCTTTCTGAAGCAGAAGGTGACTAAAAGTTCTACCTCAATCAGATAATCCTTTGGATCACAGGTGGCAAAGGGCCTCTTGAAGAGGAGGGAGAGCCCACCGCCAATTCTCTGTGCCGTCAGAAGATGGTAGTTCTGCTGGGCGTCCATGTGCAGCTGTGTGCCTTGGTCACTCCAGGCATCCTACAGGTGAAGCAACAAGAAGGTTCGTATTTCAGAGGGCAGAGATCAAAAGGGCATTGCAGGCCAGTTAAGCATCAGGTTTTGGATTTGCACTTTAACTAAAGAAATCTTGGAGTCCCCTTGTTAAAATTTTCAAAATTAAGACTATAAGTAACAATGAACTTGCAAAATTGGAATATGGATACTCTGAATTTTTGTGAGTCCCTAAACTGTAGCTTCTTTAGCCCATAATGAATTCAGGGCTAAAGTAGGTTCCACCTAATCTACTTAGTTTGGAATCGCCTCATTACTTTTTTTGGATTTAACAACATGAAACAACATGAGAGAAAAAAGCTCTGGAGGTGTCTCTATACATATAAGGAATTTATAGATTTCATGAAGAATACCAATTCAAGGCCATGCCTGTCAGGCATGCCTCCTTCTATATCCAAGAAAGAAAAACCTCAACTCCATTTGAATAGAGATAAAGTACTTTTACTAGATATGAATTGAAAGCAGCGAAAAGGAAAGCAAGATCTGAGCCAAAAAGGTGCAAACATGTACATATCAAACATTTACCCAGCACCCTCCCCCCAATTTTGCAGATTGGACAACCCAGTGTCCAATCTGCAACTCCCTAAGGTGTCATGTGGGGTACATCTTCAAAAAAGCCTCATCAAGTTGGTATGCGAGACAGTTGGCCTTGACCAAGTCCAAACACAGGCCACCAGCATGCATAGAGGATGGTGAGAACAAAACTCCCGTTTTCATACTCCTCCAGCACCAGTAATTCCCCCTCCCAAATATCTCAAGCCCTCTCCTTCCCCATTTCTATGGCAGCCGATAGCAAGCAAGGAGAGTAGAGGCTGACAAAGAAATACCTCATCTGAGCTTCTAGCACCAGGACTGGCTGGGGCTGGACCCAGATTTGCCTGACATTTCTTTTTAAGAAGAAACTAGACAGCCACTTATCTGAAATGGTGTATAGGTTCTCCTGCTTGAGCAGATGGCTGGACTAGAAGATCTCCAAGGTCCCTTCCAGCTTCTATTCTATTCTATTCCCATTCTCATTCCTATTCCGTTCTATTTCTATTCTATTCTATTCTTCTTGGGCTGTGGAGCTAACTAAAATCCCATGGAGATTTTCCTTGTAAGCACCAAGTTAGAAGCAACAAGAGAACTATCTCCTCAACGTCCGAATGGGGAGACCATCCAGGATTTTACAGCTTGAGTCATTATTCTGTTTTTCTGCAAGAATCCTGAAGCATTTCTTTGCAGTCATCAAGCTGGGCCTGAGGCTAAAGCCAAACAAGGCAGGTTGATCTGGAATCTGTGCTGAGATCAGCTCCATCAGGATATTTATGGGGTGGGACAATTCATCCAGGAGAGTCAGGGATAAGGGAGGGACGTAAAAAGACCAGCAACCACCTCAGTTGCACGACCAGAGCTCAGAAATGGCCAAACAGTCTCTGAGCATCCCTGCTTGCAATCTGGAACTTCTACGGGCCTCATGAAATAAGATGAAAGTCTCCAAGATGGAAATATGCCTCGGCCACTGCTGGTGTGAATCACCTGCCAGCTTTACCCCTCCATCTCTTTCTTGCTAATGACCGCTGTTACTCAGAAAGAGACCCAAGGAGGCTCAGTGCTGGGAGAGGCGAGGGAGCAAAAGGTCAGAGATGCTTCTGCAAAAACTCTGCTGTGGGACTCATCTGGGTAAGACCCACATTGGTGTGGGTTACTCTTCACATAAAGAGGCTTTAGGCCACGGTGGAAGGCATCTTCTTTTAGAAAAATTTCATACCTCAGTATTTGATTTTCCTGGAGTAAATGTGCTCTTTTTCTTTTAAGCGACTCTGTTTCTGAAGCATACTTTAGCAGAAATCACCAGCAGCCTCATTGATCAGACCCCTTAGTCGGCATCTCAGCTCTAAGCCTCCTTGTTGTGACGCTCATCTACCAAAGATTTTACACTCAGTGGCTTCACTAGGTTTAAGAGATTAATAGACTTGGAAGGGACCTTGCAGGTCATCTAGTCCAACCCCCTTCCCAAGCAGACCCTACACCATTTCTGACAGATGGCAGTCCAGTCTCTTCTTGAAGGCTCCCAGTGATGAAGCTCCCAGAACTTCTGTTCCATAGGTTGATTGTTCTCACTGTCAAAAAAATTCTCCTTATTTCTAGGTTGAATCTCTCCTTGTTCAGTTTCCATCCATTGTTCCTTGTTTAGCCTTTGAAGAATACCTTGACCTCCCCCCCCCATCTGTGGCAGCCCCTCAAATATTGGAAGACTGCTATCTTGTCTCCCCTGGTCCTTCTCTTTACTAGACTAGGCATACTTACGGTAGTTCCCGCAACCATTCATCCTGTGTTTCATCCTCCAGTCATCTGGTTGCTCTTCTCTGCATCCTTTCTAGAGTCTCAACCTCTTTTTTATAGTGTGGTGACTAAAACTGGATGCAGTATTCTAGGTGTGGTCTTACTAAGGCTTTACAAAGTGGTGTTAGTACTTCACTTGATTTTGATTATATCTCTCTGTTAATGCAGTTTAGGATGTGTTGGCTTTTTTGGCTGCCCCTGCACACTGCTGATTTATATTCAGCTGGTTGTCCACTAAGACTCCAAGATCTCTCTCACAGTCTCTGCTATTAAGCCTGGTTTCACCATCTTTTTGTGTACTTTTGGTTCTTCTTGCCCAAGTACAAGACTTTACTTGTCTCTACATTGAATTTCATTTTGTCCCACTACCTCTCACAGACCCCAGGCTTTAAGTTAAGGGAAGCCATTGAGTGGGCTCGTGTTACCACAAGTGTGTGTGTGTGTGTGTACTATGGTCTTTGAACCTGACATTTCTCCAGCCCATCTTTTGAATTTGTTCCGGGTGGGGACTTTTGCTGCCTTGTAATCCTTCTGATGGTGTCCCACCCTCCTAATCTTTGGATATTGTCACTGGCAAGAATGTAGCTTTGTTGACCTGCATGGCTGGTCAGAAAAGTCCCTTTCAGTGGGGCAATTGGGCCTCATCTTTGCCAGGGAAGCACCCAGGCTCACAGGCGCAATTACCCCATGGCGTCTTATATTCTGGGGTAGAGGTTCCCTGCGGAAGGAGGGACAATTCATGTTAAAAGATAAAACCCCAAGAATCTGTTTTCAGTTATGGCTTAAAAAATAAAATAAAAATTAGCTAAACCAAGCATAAAATAATGATGAATGTTAATTTCAAGTACATTCAGTGCAGTTTTAATATTAGCTTGTTCAAACACAGACTGTTCCTTGGCTCATACCTTAAAAATAGCAGACTTAGAATCAGAATCCTAGGGCTGGAAGGAACCTTGAACTCCCTGCCCAAGATAGAAATCTTGAGAGCATCCCAGGCAAATGGCTGCCTAATCTTTTCTTGAAAACCTCCAGTGAGGGGGCACCACACAGCTGCAGAGGCAAGCTGTTCCATTGATTAACTGTTTTCACTGTCAGGAAATTTCTCCTTACTTCTCTTCTAGCTTGGACCTCTCTTAACAAGCTTCCATCCAGTGCTTCTTGTCCGATCCGGGATGAAGCGGCAGAAACCCACTTCTGTTGTTGCCCCCGATCCTCCTTTTCACTATACTAGATAGACCAATTCCTACAATTGTTTTTCACATTACATTACCAATCACCTTTGTTGTTCTCCTCTGCAGTCTTTCCAGAGCCTCAACATCTTTTATGTATCGTGGCAACCAGAACTGGATGCAGGATTCCAAGTTTGGCTTTACAAGTGTACTATAGACCTTTGCTCTGTTGATGCAGTCCAGAACAGCATTGGCTTTTTTGGCAGCTGCAGCACACTGCTGTCCCATGCTCAAATGGTTGTCCACTACGACTCTTATATCTGTCTCAAAGTTACTACAGCTTTAACAGATTAAAAAATTGGAAGGGACCTTGTAAGTCATCTAGTCCAACCCCCCACTCAAGCAGAAAACCCTGTACCATTACTGAAAGATGGCAGTCCAGTCTCTTCTTGAAAGTGCCCAGTGATGAAGCTCCCACAACCTCCGAAGGCAACTTCTGTTCGATTGGTTGTTCTCACTGTCAGAAAATTTCTCCTTATTTCTAGGTTTAATCTCTCCTTGATCAGTTTCCATCCATTATTCAAGTGCCTTGGAAAATAGCTGAGCCAGGTATCACCTATTCTATTTCATGCATTTGGTTTTTCCTGCCCAAGTCCTGACCTTACTTTTCACATCACTGGAGAGGGCCTTTTCTCTTGTCTGTCAAGGTCCTTCTGAATCATGAGTATCTTCCAAAATGTTGGCTATTCCCTCCAGTTTTGTGTCATCTGCAAATTTGAGTTCCCTGTCTATTCCCTCATCAAGATCTAGACCTTCTCAAAGCCTGTCTCGTGGTCTGGTCCTTGCCCAGGTTCACCCACTCAGTGACCAATGAAGGAATTAACCCCAGAGATATAGAAGCAAGGCTCCCTCTTCCTTGGACATGCTCCTTGGAATTAAAAAAACTATGTCGCGTCAGTATCAACAGAGATCCCAATAGAGGAAGGAGACCCCCAGCCCAGGTCTGTTTGGCATAGGAACTGCTTCCCTGCTTACCCACCGCAAAATAGAACTGGACCCCATCGCTCCATAGGACAGCCAGATCTGCCTCCTGAAAGCTACCACGGTCTGACATGCCAAAGAGAAAGCCATATTTCAGCTCCTTGGCCACAATCCGGAAATGCACCTCCTCCAGGTGGTAGCTGATGTTCCAGGAGAGCTCCAGGAGGCCCTGAGGGTCCAGGGGCACCTTGTATGGGAAGTTCTCTCTTCGCTCTGTGCCTTGGAGGGCCATCACCAGAAGAACCAAGAAGACAGCGAGCAGGGAGAAGTACAGGGATGCTGCTTCCCGGACCTTGAGCACCAGGCAGGCATCTCCCTTCGGCCGCCTCCCAGAGCTTGGCATTCTGGCCAGCAAGAATCATGGGGCCCTCAGCTCTTCCCATTTATAAAGAGACCCTCCTAGCAATTGGATCGGTAATTCCCCTTAATTACATTTGGTGGGTGGAAAATCGGATTGGGCCACTGAACAGATCTGCCTGTGTCCTCATGCCCCTGGGCCCGGGTGCTTGTCGCTTTCTGCTTCTCTCTAATTGTCTTTAATTGTTTGTGGACATCATCAATGGGAATTTAAGTGGACTGGATAGGGTTTTTTTCTTTTTTAATGTCCTTTTAATGCTTTTTGAAAAGCTGGCCTGGAAGTTGATTTGTCTCCCAATCCTGTGTGTGCTTTGTCTCTCTTTCTCTGCTGTTCTCTTCCATCCTCCAAAATGGAGTCAGAAATGAGACGTTGTGGGAACTGCTGAGTGGCCAGAAAGTCTCACCCTGGTGTACCAACAGTCAAAGGAGGCTGGGATTTCTCCCCAAAGGCCATTCCATAATTGCAGAGAGCTGCCCTTACTCTAAGCCCTAATGCCCAGAATTTGCAATTGCTCCTTGTAGAAAGTCAAGACACACCCACCCCTCCTAAAGAATGAAATATTTGAGGAATATTAAAAAGGCAGGATAGAATATTTCCTTTAAAGGAGGATTGGGGGAAAATATCAAGGGAGGCAGAAGCCAGCCCCAGTCTCCCTGCCCCAAGCAGAAATCGAGAAGGCCAGCTTTTAGAAATGCAGATTTGGTAATCCATTCAGAAAGACTGGGTCAGACAGAAACTTCAGATAAGCAACAAGCCAAACATTGACAAGATTAGCTCAGACAAAAACCTAGGATTTGCATTTCCTCTTTTGCTTATAGAACCAACCATGATCCCTACATAAAGATCCAGAAGGTATAAAATCCACCCACTCTCAACTCTATTTTGTCAGCTGACTCAGAACTGTACACTGTGTGTGTGTTGGTTCTGTTCACCAATAAACAGAATCTTTCTTTCCAACCAGCCTCCATTTTATTCCCAGCTTGGAACTGGAACTGGATTTTTTTTCTTCCAACACCCTCTCTACTACAGGCGGGCATGAAGGGCAGCAGGTGCAAAAGTCTGTTGTGTCCATGAAGAAGCAAATTTCTCACTGCCTTCAACATTCAATTCCTTCAGCTCTTGAGCTTGCACGATATGCTTATTGCACATCTGGAATACATGCATTAGGAGGGAGAATCCACCAAGAGACAAGGTGAGTGCCTAGGCTAGAGTTCAAAGGAGAACTTACAGCTCCATCACTTCAACTAATTTAAAACTATATTATGATGCAGTGGCATTATCTGTAATTAGTGATTGGATTCATTTAACCAATGATAGAATATTGAACATTGAGGGACACGATCTGGTATTTGGTTGGCATGCTTACCTGTTATTCAACAAAAAATTGGATAAGAACTTTAAAAGTCATATTTTAAGAAATGCTTTATTGCGGGTTTGTACCAATATTATACCAATATAAATTAAATGACAAGATACCCATGTGGGCAATTCCTAGACACGCAATTGAAAATATGAATACAGCACAAAGACAGGACAGAATTACTTACAAACCCGCAATAAAGCATTTCTTAAAATATGACTTTTAAAGTTCTTATCCAATTTTTTGTTGAATAACAGGTAAGCGTGCCAACCAAATACCAGATCGTGTCCCTCAATGTTCAATATTCTATCATTGGTTAAATGAATCCAATCACTAATTACAGATAATGCCACTGCATCATAATATAGTTTTAAATTAGTTGGTTTCAGTCCTCCTCTCTCACGTACATCTTGCATTATTTTCATCTTTCCCCTCGGCTTCTTTCCTGCCCACACAAATTTGTTGATACCCTTCTGCCATTCTAAAAGATTCGCATCTTTTTTAAGTATAGGTAACATTTGGAAAAGAAATAAAAATTTTGGTAAAATTTTACCAAAATT